TCAGTGGAGGAAATATCATCAAGGCGATTAACACCTGGGCAATTCCAGTCATTAGATACACAGCTGGAATAGTGGACTTGACTCAAGCAAAACTAGAAGCTCTGGGTAGGAAGATGAGAAAAATAATGACAATGAATCATGCCCTTCACCCACTCAGCAATGTAAACAGACTCTACTTACCAAGGAGCAGAGGTGGGCATGGAATGGTACAAGTACACCAGACAGTTGAAAGGGCATTAGAAGAATATCTGAAGGGCAGCGAAGAAGATGCACTGAAGCTAGTACACCATGAAGGCTTCCTGAATACCAAAGCAACCAAACTGGCCTATGAGAAAGACCAAACTAAGAATAGAAAAGAGACATAGACAAGGCAAAATATTACATGGCCAGTACACAAAAAAACTAGCAGGCAAAGCAGATAACAACAAGGCCTGGCAATGGCTAACAGCAGGAAAGTTGAAAGAGACAGAGGGGCTACTTCTGGCTGCACAAGACCAAGCCTTAAGAACAAATGCATACGAAGCCAGAATTGAGAAGACAGCAACAGATAGCAAATGCCATCTCTGCAAAGAAACTGAAGAAACAGTGGACAGTGTTGCAAAAGGATCGCACAGGCTGACTACAAACAATGGCATGACAAAGTAGCAACAATGGTGCATGGGAATATCTGCAAGAAATACCATTTGCCTCCAAGCAAGAACTGGTGAGACCACAAAACAGCCAAAGTAATAGAAAACGAAGAAGCTAAAGTGTTTTGGGACTTTAGAATTCAAACAGAGAAGCATCTGCTACACAACACCCCAGACTTAACAACTGTTGATAAGAAAGACAAAAACGTCTGGATAGTGGACACTGGAATACCTGGAGACAGCAGAAAAGGAAGAACTGGAGAAAATCACAAGATACAAAGACCTGCAAATAGAAGTAGAACGACTGTGGCAAAAGAAAGCAAAGATACTACCAATAGTTACAGGTGCCTTGGGTGCAATCCCAAAACATCTGGAGCCCCACTTGAAGACCATCGGCACTGACAAAATCACCATCAGTCAACTGCAAAAGGCAGCTTTACTTGGAACAGCTTCCATCCTGTGATGATACCTTTAACCCAATCAAACAACATCTGCCTGTCCCAGGTCCTTGGGAAGGACTTCATAGGTGGATAAAAATGCCAAATCCAGTCTAAACATCTGTGACCAATAATAAAAAAAGGGGCAGATCTATCGCTAATGGGAGTTCCAGCAGATACAGAAGGATGTTCAAGTGCTGATGTAGGACTTGGCCCATATTTCTCAGTTGTGTCCTGTATTGAAAAGGTCCTTCTTAGACTCCAATTTGCATTTTCATTCCTGAGATCAGAGCTAGGGAGGATGGCGGTACCTTTACTTTCCCACTTATTACTGTCATCCTGGCTGTCCCATCCCTCCTTCCTTCCTCATTCCTGCAAGATTCATTCATTCATTCATTCATTCATTCATTCATTCATTCATTCATTCATTCATTCATTTATATGGCTACCCAACTCATCCAAGATGAGGAGTTATCTGTAGATATAGGCAATACAGATCTAGAAAAGATATTTTAAAACATTTATTAAAGCAACCCCTTAGTGAACCAAGTAGAATTTCATATTTTCTATCGCCTGCCCTGAAGGAGGTAATTGATTTGAAAGGTCTGTGTCTTGTTTGAAAGAGCAGAAACACAGAATCATCCTATTAGTATTTTTTCTCCTCCCATTCTATTTAATTAGAATTCTCCAGGGCAAATTATTTTTGTACCTGAATTAAAGGAAGGCTAGGGTTAATGCCACCATATCTGAGCTGCAGAAATGCAGACAATGAATGGATCGCAGCAAGGAAATAGATTTTCTGTACTGCTTTGCCACCATCTAGTGGTCATCCAGATTTATGCATCCCTAGAGGTCTGTTTCGAATCCCTGTTGTTACTCATGGCCAAAATACCTGAAACTATTTCTTGTTTTGACGAGACACAGAACATCCACATTAGTTTGAATTTTGTTCCCAGCATTGCAACCATTTTGAACTGGTTTAATAGAACGTTTTGGATGCAATATTTCAAATAAGAGACAGAATTTGATTTGCACTGAAAATTAAAAAGTGTTCATATTTAATTTCCAGATTTTCTTTTAGACCTTTCGATATACAATCTTCCAAATTCATGTTGAAATGAAATCCACAGCGAAACGATATAAAATCTCACATTACAAAAACTTCTTTGAATAAAGTTTTTTTTTTAAATGGTAGCTGATGATTGGTGCAGGGATCGTCTGTACAATTTAAGTTCTTTTTTTTTTTTTAAAGGCTCATCTGGGGTAGCTTCGCTTGAGAGTGGCGTAGCTCTTTAAGGTGTTCTCTGATTGCCTTTGCAGTTCTTCAATGTGAGAGTTTAAAACCTGTTCAAAGTCTTTTGCTCGCCTCTCTTCCTCCTGTAGGAATTTCTCTGCTGCAGCAGCGGGAAACAAAGTCTCTGGGGAAGGCTAAACGACACAAAGAATTGGCACAATGAAGACAGGTATAATTAGGCAGCTTCTCTTATTAGCCCAGGGCCATTGCTGCAAGTATGCCTGGTTTATATCTCTTAGACATTCAATCTTGACGGAGATCCTGTTGTGTCTACACCCCCTCCAATGATATCTGGGCTGCACAAATCCAGAGGACCTCCAGATGGCAGCAAAGTGTATAAAGAGTTTTCTGTTATCTCTCTGCTGCCGTCTAGTGGCTGTTAGATGTCTAGCAGCCCAAATATGATAGCCTTAACATTACATTCAGTTGAAGTAGGTCCAGAAAGAGTCTGCAAGATGGAAAGGGAAGGGTGTTCACATAAACAGCCTCTTCTCCATTCTTCTAACTGCATCCTGCTGCAGTGTATGTATGTATGTATGTATGTATGTATGTATTTATTTTGGCCTCATGAAGTCAATAGAACATTAATCAGGAATGAGCATGAAAACCTGAAATACCAAAATAAATATTGCTATTATGTTATAACCGATTAGCTTTGCAGCCTTGAATGTAAATGTTGCTCCATTTCATCACTTGAGCGCAATAGTACACTTTACTTCAGATGGGGACCCTCCTTGTGGGTTAATTGCTCACTCCGAGTCAGGTCTAAATTGGAATATTACTGTCCTTGAATCTGAAGAAGTATGTCTAAGAGTGTTTGACTACATCCATATAAAAATGCAAATGCATCAGTATTTTAATATTACTGAAGCTTGATGTAAGTTTTAATCTTTGAGACTCGGTTCACATTATTTTTATTTTGAAAAAGAGTATACCTGTGCTGTTTGAGATAGCAATCCTATCTGGGGTAAGCATCATTCCAAGCCTACGATATACTGTTATTTATTTATTAATTGTCTATATCTAAGTTAGGTTTTTACATATCTATTTTCTCATTTTTTTAATGCAGAATTAAGTGATCTCATGTGCATGAGTGAACCATTACAAATTAATCAGCATATATAATTTTTATATTACTTTGGATATTATCAGTAATGTGACATTTTTCAGCAGAGCAAATTTAATGCTTCCTGGAGAATCATCCAGTGATCAAGCAAAGAACATCGAATTGTGAGACTTCTATGATACCAAAAGGATACAAACCTCAATCTGAAATAGGATAGATAGAGTAGAATATTTAAATACCTTTTAAAAAAGGCAAAGGAATTTTTTTTTAATTCTACAAAAGGCTTTAATTTAGGCTGATTGCAGATTTAAGGGTTTTTTCTTTTAACTGACTATCCTCTTGACTCTTAATTGTTTTCTGGTATTTTGTAAGCAGAGCAAAGCAACCCAATTCCAGTGTGCATCTGTCCCTTAGTTTGTTTCATTTTATGAGTGCCCATGATGATGATTGTTCATTTTTAAAAAAATGTTATATTTTATTTTTGCATACTGTTTATTTTATTTGCTTAGCCCTCTTACAACTTGCCCAGAGTTCTGTAGGAATGGGGTGGACTATAAATATTGTGAAATAAAAAATAAGTTACTGAAACAAAAAGGTCTCTTGCTTCGAGAATACTAGAAGGCACCACTCTGAAATAATAGGATGTAGTGCTTGGGTTTGTTCTCTCCCTCTTTTTAATCTCCATTATCTGTTTAGCCCCACAATTCAAAGAGGCAGCTAGAACTGGGGATCCACCATGCAACAGTGATCTGCTGTTGCAACAGATGTCAGGAGTAGGTTACCCTGAACCTCATTTGTCACTTTGATAGAGGAGGGCAGTAGAAGGAGGAGTATAAATTGGCTACATCCAAATTTGTGCAAGTGTAATATTGCTCATATAGTGGGGCAGAATTTTCCCTACCTAATTTTCTTTATGACATATTCCAACTCAGAAATAGATTTTCAGAAAATGCAGAATCTACAGGGCGGAAGGGGGTTGAATTATTATTATTATTATTATTATTATTATTTGCATAAACAGCCTTATTTTGGGGGGATTTCACTTAGCAGTGTATGTGAATTATTACAGACAATGTCACTCAGAGCAGGGACAGGCAATGTGATGTCTCTGAGCATTAATGTGTTCACACACAGTTCCCTTGGTGTGAACCAGTTCCCTGCTAACCCATATTTGAAGGTTTTAAATAAATAATTGTGCAACTAGCATGGTACGAGCTTAGCAGACTCCACAGAGGAGTTCTTATAAAATAGAAAGGGTGAGCTGAATATTGTGTTTGGAAGTGTGTGAACCTTTCTAGGCAAAAAAACAAACAAAGAGAAGCTGGGGATGAAGGAACATCTTGGGGAGCACAAGAAGGTAGAGGAAGCAATGCCATCAATTTGCATGTTGATAAATGGACCTAGTCAGACTGAGAGGCCTATCGCAGCAGTCACTTGTGAATACACAAGTTCCTCATAGCTGTCATTTTGTGGGAGGACCCACAAGATACTCTTAAAAGTTTCAACTATGCCCACTAGCTGAAAAAGATTGTCATCCCTTGGCTCCCTGGGTGAATATTGATCACTCTCTTATAAAGCAAAACAATAAATTACCGTCTGACTTTCTTCCACAATGTAGACATGGTTCAGCAATGTATCAGATTTATTCCTTTCAGGAAAGGAAGTGCCATAAAATGGTGGGAGTGCTTCCAGCGGGGATGGAGATCTACCATCAGCTACAGGTACACAATCTCTGCTTGATCTTTGAGGAGGTAAAGTGCCATTGCTTTCAAGAATAATGTCCTGTTGGCCATGCCAGACAGGAACCTGCGTTCGATAGTGTCTAAAATGTTCATAGATTGCAGACTGGACTGAATTCTGCACAGGCCTAAAAGAGCAAAATGTTTACAAGGTTATGGTGACCAGTCAGGGCCTCAAAATGTTGTTAACAAGCAAAATACTTTGTACTAAACGCTCCATCCAGTTTTGTTTTATGGAATACCAGACAACATACATGTGGCAGGAAAAAAAAGCATTCCATACTCCAACATACTAATTTCACATAAAAGATATAAAATATACACTTGAATGGAAGGTTGCTCAGAAAGTCCAGCTAAACAACATTTATATGAACAAAGACATCCCACTGGCTGATGTAACTCAGGATTGTCATAGGAAGTAGTCTTCCATACCCTTTTAGTTCCTTTTAACTGGAGACTGAAGTTTGGACTCTATCTGCACTGCATAACTGGCATTTTCTGATATTGCTAGGAGGAACATTTGAAGCAAATAGTTTCTGTTTATCACAATGCAGCACTACTGCATTTTGCTATCAGTCTTGGCATTATGACAATGAATGAAACAATGCTTAAACGATGCATAGATCCTTTGGCTCATTTCTGAGAAGTTGGCTGAAATACTGACTGATTAGATTAATACATGAAGATATGCCCAACAGAATTAGCTTGATACAACCTCCTTGGGGTCCCCTCTATGAATACATGTGTGGATTAGAACTCTGCGAAAGCAGAGAAATGTCTATTAGCAAGACCTTGCGTTCGATAATAAGTCTGTCATTTTTATTAGACTAGAGGCTTGCTTACAGCCCACCAACCCAAACACACAGAGCCCCATAGGGTAACCCACCACCACCCAATCAGATGTCCTATGGTTTGGCCTACCAGAGACTTCACAATGCCCTGCACTGCTTAGAGCTTTAGAGATTGCCATGCATTGTTACTGACTACATTCACTTGGTGAAGACAGTACAATTCTGATAGGAGTCTCTCCAAAACATTTAAAGAGCTTGTAAATGTGTCAAAAGTTTTTTTTTTAAAAATTAAAGATGGTTGTTTGATGATCCTTATAAGATTGGTCTATTTCATTTCTGAGCAGAAGCAAAAATTGAGAAAGAAATCCTTTAACAATCTAGGAAACATCAAGTCTGTTTTAGCTGGCACGCTCAGGAAGGGGTCACAAATGATTACAGAGAGAATTATTAATGTTGGCAACATGAACTGGTTTTTGCTGGCGTTCTTTGCCAATAACTTGCAATGCAATTTTTGCTTTCTCCTGCTTTATAGGACCTTCTCTCTTCATTTTGTATGGAAGGCTGATCATCCTATTGGCACTGAACAGAAAAAAGAAGAAGCAGGTTGTAGGTGACAATTCTTAGTAAGAGGAATATGGGAATCAGATATTTTAACACAAATATTGCCTTCCCATGGACCCAAATGAATTGAAATCTCTTCTGTGATATTTGCTTTTTTTTTTTTTTAATGTGCACCTTTTGATACCTGGGTGTATCTGGGGATTGTACAACTTTATTTAAAGGATGTGATGTAATAGAAAAAGAACCCTACTGGGTTGGATCAGTAGATCTGGTTTCTTTATTTCATAAAATCATAGAATTATAGAATGGGAAAGGACTCCCAGGCTCATCTAGTCCAGCCCTCTGCAATGTGCAGGAAAACTAAATAAACTATCCAGGAGAGATGGCTTCCAACCTCATCTTTAAAACCTCCAGAGATAAAGAACCCACAACCTTTGTAGGTCGAATATTCAACTCCTGTACAGATCTGTCAGGAAGTCCTTCCTTCTATTTCAATGAAATCTGGGTAGCTGAAACTTATACCCATTATTTCTGGTCCTAGTTTAGGGGGCCATGAAAAATTATTCTTGTCCATCTTATCTATAGTTTCCCTTTATGTTCCTGAACACTGATGTCATGTCTCCCCTAAGTCTTCTTTTCTTCAGACTGAAATTCCTAAGTTCCTTCAACCTCCTGTCACAGGGCATCTCCTCAAGTCCTTGTATCACCTTCACTACCCTCCTCTGAACCTTCTCTAATCCTGTAAAGTCCCTCAGCAGTATACAATAAAAAGTACTCTAACAGAATCATCATTAAGAAGATTATTGTTTTCCCCTTTTATCCCATTAAAATTACAGTTGGGTAACAACTTTTGTCAATCTGTAAGGGCTACTCTCAACGTTTTTGGAGACCATATGCTGCCAAGGGGGCTTAGATAAGGAACTTTTCTCTTATATACTAGGTTTATATTGAATGATTCTTGGCTAAGGATCCCAGTTCAAAGTTGTAAAATTCTAAAAGCCCACTAATAGTAGGATATAGCTAGAGCTGTTCCTGTATTTCTTTGCTGCTATCTATTGGGCATCCTGTGTTGTCAGCCTAGATAGTCCTATTTTGGCTAACTGCCCTTAAAAGAGCTATCTTCCTTTAAAAGAGCTAGATAATCAATCTATTGAAAACAGCTACATCAGCCAGCTGGAACCCCGCTATGCTGATCTGCTGGGAATTCTGATACTTGAAATATTTCAATATGTCCAGAAGATACAGTACGTATGCCCATAAAATCCATTAATTAGTTGTATTATGTGAAGTTCTTTTGTGCATTTACCCTGAATCTACTGCAAATCAATTTAACCTGGTATGAAGAAATTTCCGACAAACCAGCTATCCATCTCATAATGTATCTTTCATGGAAAGTATATGCCAGCTGTTCTCAGCCCAATGTCCTCCAGATGTGGAAGGACTACAGTGCCCCAAATTCTTGTGTCAGCTGGGAATGTTAGATGTCATATTCCCAGTACATATGGAGGATGTACAACTTGGGCATGGCTGATATTCTCTCCAAAGTTTCACTAGACTCTCAAAGGAATCCATGACACAAAAAGGTTAAGAACCCCTGCTCCAAATTTTAAACATCTGTAATACAGATAAGACAAGGAAAATTACTTCTATCCATTTATTTTTGTGTTTTCCCCCCACTGGGCAAACATTATCAAGAAGAGTGACTATAAATAGCAGAAACACATTAGCATGGCATCTGGAAATTGCCAATTACCTACCCCCATCTTCCCAAAGCCCAACACGTTTTTTATTTTTGTTATCCCAAACATATCCACTGCCATTCCTTGCTTGGCATAATTGCCATGGTAACGGAACAGCAAATTCAAATAGAAAAAACAGGGTTTTCATTCATCATAAAATAAACGATGCCCTAGAGTTAAAATAAGCTAGCAACAATAGTTTGGCTCACCTGCTTCTGTTCAATCTCTGATAATTTAACAATAGTTTTGGGGAGAAAAGCATAATGAATTGTTTAAAAAATTTTAAAAAATCAAAAGCCAAAGTCAAAGTCAAAGCCAAAGCCAGAATCACAATGCACTTGATTTCCAGGATTTGGCTACAGTTGCCAAATGTGAGCTGCAAAATTCTGGATGACCGCTAGACAAGAGCAAAGTGATATAGAAAACTTAGCTCATCTAGAGATTTGCAGTCCTAGTGAAGAAAACATTTGGGACTCCAAAATTTGTGCATAATCTGTATTTTGACCATTTAAATTAGTATTTTCCAAAAAGGCAGATAGCCTTTTCTAACCTATGGCGCCAGTATTGGAAAATGGCAGCAATGACAACACCTGTATCACTGTTAAATGAATAACGCATTTGATATATAAGCAAAATTAAAAAAAATTAAAAAATACCAATTTCACATCTCTACATGTCCTTCAAGCCAGCAACAGAAACTTCAGCAAGTTGACTCATGCAACACAAGCAGTGGAGTAGTCAAATGGTTGGTTGTTCCACTTAGAAAAGCTTAAGAAAGAATCCAGAAGGTGCATAACTCAATTTGCCACTGAGTGGAACTATTTAGGCCACTCAAATGGAAGCTAGAAATATCACCAGTTTCCTTCTGAATGTAGGAAGACAAAGGACAATGGTGTGGTTAATATATACCATAAATCTTGCATCCCTTTACCCTCCCCACCCCACGAGCTCATTGTTACTGTTAATTGGCGGCGGGGGGGGGATAAGATGGGAGGTTTAAACCTTGTAAATAAGGGGAAGCTGCTGCACCACATAAGCTAAAGCAAACCATCACTGGGGCTAACCCAAAGAGAAGAACCCAGTACTGGGAGGCTGCGCAAGCCAACTGGAAGTGCAAATGCCATTCACAATGGAAATACAACAATAAGCATTTGGGAGGTCAATGGTTGTGAAACACTGATTATTATGAGAAGAACAAAATGGAACAAAATGGAAGCCAAAGGCACCATTTAAAATTTCATTCCTATGAGATAATTATTTAAACCTTGAAGTTATAATGGGCTGGAGCCTCCATGCTATTTAAAATACTGTGTGTAAATGTCCCAGCCCTAGTATCTAGAAAGGACAGGCTCATTTGTATAGTCATGGATATGCCTCATTGGGAAAAGGTGGGTGGATGGGTGGGCAGGGAACAATAACAGATGCTTTGGTGAATGCTCTGAACTCTAGATAACATCCATTCTTGATGCAAGCACCCACTGGTCTGTTGAGACTGTTACCATACACTGAGATACCAGGCAAGGAGGTTCCCAAAGGGCAAGACTATTGGATGCTGTGAGTTAAAGACATTCCCAGGGCTGCCATTCCACTCTCTGGTGGGGTTAGTTGTAAGATTTAGTTACAAAGGGACATGATCCGTGCAGAGTGTAGTGCTACTGGGGTTGAAGATCAAGTTGTGACTGAAGAGCTTTCCAGTCATAAGGGGGCTGGAACCATGGCCTGCATCAAGAGCCCAATGAAGATTAGAGCTGGAGATCTAGCTGGAAGTGGTGCATTGGTCTCACTACTAAAGAGACCTTCTATCAAAAGGCTTCCTGGGTGAGAAACTGTAGACACATATACATGTAGAATGAGATGTGGTCATGAACACATCTGAACATGGTTTTTATGCAAAACTGTCATATATAATGTATTGTTTTTATTAGTATTTTGCACTGGTATATTATACACTTTTGCCCTAACTGTATATTCCTTAGACTCAGTCAGACTAAAGCAGTATATAAACCATATAAATAAATGAAGCCCACTGAATTAAGA